AAGATCATCCTGAGTGAAATATCCCAGAAGGAGAAAGACAAACACGGTATATACTCACTTATATAGACCTATAAGATATAATAAACATAATGAAATCTGTACACCTATAAAAGATAATCAAGAGAGTGGACATGGGGTAAGATGATCAATCCTCGTTTAGAATGACAGATGGGATGTGCATTGAATGTATGACAGGAGTCTACTGAGTGCATCTGAAAGACTCTAACTAGCAGTGTTTTCAAAGCAAAGACTCATGACCAAACCTTTGGCAGAGTACAGGGAATCATAAGAAAGAAGGGGAGTTAGTCTGATGGGGAAAGGATAGGAGCTCCACAAGGACCAAATATATCTGGGCACAGGGTCTTTTCTGAGACTGACATGCAACCAAGGACCATGTATGAATTTAACCTAGAACCTCTGCTCAGATGTATCCTGTGGTAGCTCAGTAACCAATTGATTTCCCATAGTGAGGGGAACAAGGACTATTTCTAACAGGAACTCAATGACTGGCTCTTTGGCCTCCCCACCCCCCAAGGGAGGAGCAGTCCTGTTAGGTCACAGAGGAGAGCTTTGCAGCCAGTCCTGAAGATACCTGATAAAACAGGATCAGAATTATGGGGAGGAGGTCCCCCCTATCAGTGGACTTGGAAAGGGGCACGGTGGAGAGGAGGGAGGGAGGGAGGGACTGGGAGGGAATGAGGGATCCGGACACGGCTGGGATACAGAGTTAATAAAATGTAACTGATAAGAAAAAAATAAAATACAAAAAAAATAAAAAAAAAATAAATAAAAATAAATAAAAAATAAAAATAAAAGAAATCTATTGCTCACCAGGACTATTGCTTGGCCATTGAGAGCTTGCCTCATGTGTGTGAACTCCAGTGTTATTCTCCCCCAAAGAAAACCATTGACTTGAAACCCATTGACAGTATGGCCTGTGTGCAGGGTGATGGTTTAGTCAGCAAAGCGCTTGCCATGCAAGCTGAAGACCCGAGTTTGTATTCTCAGCAGAACGAGCGGTGTGGGGTAGTCACATGGGTAACCCCAGCATGGGATGGGGGGAGGGACAGCATGGGTCACAGTTACAGAGGTCCTCTGGGGCTTGCTGGCCAGCTATTGTCGCCAACCAGTAAGCTGCAGCTTCAGTGAGAGAGCCTGCCTTTAGAAATTAAGATGGAGAGAAACTGAAGAAGCACCTAGTGTTGACTGTGAGCGCTGGCATGCACACGCACCAGAATATACATATGCATGCACACGGAGGAACCCATAAGCACACACAAATGTCACACACACACACACACACACACACACACACACACACACGAAGTATGTGCATCACCAGCATCAATGAAGAGCACTGTAAGACACACACACACTCACACATACACGCAAAGTATGTGCATCACCAGCATAGGTGATGAACACTGTAAGACACAAACACAAACGTACACACACACACACACACACACACACACACACACACACAAGTATGTGCATCACCAGCATAGGTGACGAGCACTGGAAGAACTGGGACTCGGTCCATCTGTGGCATACCCAGTTCCCCTGGCGCACTGCACAGTTTCCTGTAGGCAACGAGCATTCAATAATGATTTCTTAAAATAAAGAATTGGAGCTTCAGAAACATTTGGAAGTTTAAACATTAGAAAATACACAAGATGTCAAACTCTTATTTTATTTAAATTAACATTTGTGTTTAAAATACAGGATACCATCTTAGCTTTCAGAGAGGGCAAGCCACACATGGGCTTTAGAATTCCCTGGCACCTGTCCTGAAGCGAGCCGTTGAAAGCATATGAGCAAGCACTAGCACTAGAATCGAATAGGTTCACCAGAATTATTAGGTTGGATAAATTTAGAAATAAGCCATCAGAATCTTTAAAGAAACCCCAGCTTATTTTCTTTGTATTGCCAACATAACTGCTAGTAATTTCAGAAATGTGTTTCCTAATTTCGTATTTAAAAACGTAATCAGCCATCATCACTGCAGGACTAAGGAATTCCAAATCATGCTCCAGAATTCCCACATCCAACTCTGAATGACTTACTGTTATACCCTAGATTAGCATATTCCTCCACCCACATGAGAGACATGTCTACCTACAGGAGAGGACAATCACCACCGAAACCCACAACCAGCTGTGGGGCAGAGAGTAGAACGCTCAGCCCCACCCAAACATCTGCACTGCACCTTCTCCTGAGCCTCGGTGAACACTGGAAGAAGGATGCGAGGGACTGTAAGAGACAGAGGTTCAGCATCCCCTGGACACAGGGTAGCAGCACTATGAACTCAGCAGTTACGTCAAAGCCCGTGAAAGCCCCAACGACACCAAATCCCAGCATGGAGAGGAGAGGTGGATATGCAGTCTGCCTCTAGCCAAGAACTGTTGGCAATGGATAGTGGCTGGGAGAAGAAGTTTTCTTTAAGGGTGTTGCCATTGATGGATGGAAAAAAGAAAAAAAAAAAGAGGACACAGTTGGGAGGATAAGAAAGTGGGGTGTGACTCTGGGAGAAGTCAAGGGAGTGGTGAATATGGTCAAAATTCATTGTACACAATTCTCAAAGAACTAGTAAAAATGAAACAACCCATCTCCTGAAAAAGATATACTTATTATACTTAATTTATTTGCAAATCAAGAGTTTTTTCCTAGTGGATATATTTTATCCATAAAGTCTTTCTGAGTTTTTCAGACCATCACCAAAGCCAGCGAAGTGCAGTCATGGTAAACCAAGTCTACAACAGCAACTTTGTGTCATTTTTTGACTAGTCTTAGATACACACATAAGTTGCTTTGACCTGACTCATCTGACCTGTGACCTGTGTTTACTTCACTTAGCACTGAAGGTAGAGATATTGGTGTTTACACAAGGGCAGGGTAAAATACTCTCAAAGGTAGAAATCACTGAGATATATCATTCACTGGAACTATGTGAAGGCAGCAAGCATGGGAAGGTGATTTTTGCTAACATAAAATTTTAAGGAGTTGAAATTGCATCCTTTGGAAAATGGAAGAATGAAACCCAGTCTATGGGGCCATATATTTCAGCTTCTTTATAAAGAACTAACATGTATAATGTGGTGTCAAAAGCTAAATGTAGATATTCTCTGTAATCGTTTTATCATCAAAAGATCACCGTTTCCACAATTCAAATGAAACACAAAGTCTGTGCGTGGTTCTTTGGAAGCAAAGGAATACTTCCTGTTTAGAGTTAGAATGCACCACTTTTCTTTGCTTAGATTAGTGGGAAACACGGCCCGGAAGACCCATGAAATATCTAACTCCCAGTCATAGAGAAAAACACAGTTTCAGCACAGGGCATGGCCCTCTGTAACAGGAGACAGCCTGACTTTAAAACAGCTGGTTGTTAGGGATGAGGAGGGTTTTTGTAGATAGCTCTGAGCCAGGGAGGGCCCAGTGAGCAAGGAGGCAGGGTTACTTATGCCTTCAAGGCCATGTAAGGCTCCATCCGCTGCATGTATATTAGAATTCCATTAGAGTCCTTAGAAAATTGTGCCCACTGATGAAACTATAATCTGAAAGTGAGGTAATTTAAAAAGGCAAGGTCACTTTGAAAGTGTCCCTGATGATTCTTATCTGCAGCAAGAATGAGGTGCTACCTGGCTTCTGCACACATAAAATGTAGGCTGAGCTCCATCTAATTAAAATGTCTGTTTTGAAAATTTAAGAATCAGAAAAAGTTACCTCTGATTATATTTAAATATGGGTATTATTGACATAGTTCTTTCTATGGAATTAATGGTAGGCATTTTATTAAATAATTTACCGATTTCTCGAGAAGGTAGACCAACATTGATAACAAACAGCATACTATTTAAGAAATGAGAGAATACTTTAAAGAAAGATGGTTCAATTGAACCATCTTCAGGAACTCTAGAATGCTTCAAAATTTAAAAGTCCTTTAAATTAAAAAAAATGAGTATATAAGCTTAGAATACATTTGATAGCAGGTGTCTTTCTCTATTAAAATAAAGAAAAAAACTGTTCAGATTAAAAATGTAAAATTAAAGTATTTAGAAACTAATATTTTTGGAATCCATATTTTAATAATATACTTAAAAAAATCTATGGAGCAGCTCCACAAATAAGTACCTATAATTCTCCTGAGCCTAGAGTAGATGTTCTTTTTCAATTCATTTTTGAGCTGTCTACGAGGATTCTAGAAGTCCAGGAAGAACTGTGGGAGGTGATGGGGCAGGAAGAAGGGAGGCAGGGCAAAGGGGAAAGATGGCATCTGCGGGCATCAGAGGGTCTGGTTAGTGACCTCCTGTGTGTGCTGGAGAAGATGACGCTGGTAGTGCTAGGTTTTTCACCCTTGGCAAAAGGTCTTACTTCCATTTTTCATACCCATAACCCTGGAGCCGCAGCAGCAGGGGAGGGTCGAGGCTCAGGCTCCAGGTTTGTGTTCAGCATCTGTGTCTCCGCTGCACACTGTGTGAGACTAGCTGAAGGTGCTCCAACAGCTAACCTGCACCAACATCTGTGGGCACAGAGGGGACGCTCAGAAACATCCTTTAAAGAATGCATCAGGGCATGCAATACTTGCACCCTTTTCTGCCAAGAGCTTAAAGAACACAATGAGAGCCAAAATGCCTGAAGAACACATCTGACAACAGGTATCAGCAGTTATTCTACTAAGGAACCTTCAGAGATACTCAATACAAGATCACCAGGCATAGTAAGCAAGAATATTCTAAGTCACTTATTCTCCAGCATCATGGAGCTTGGGGCGAGGCAGGGGGAAGCAGCAAAGAGGCCTCATGCTGAATATTAACCGAACCATCAGTAATGCCAAGTTTTTTTTTTTTTCTCCAGTGAAGAGTTCAGCTGGGGAAAAGAGCTGTCTTTCTGAAGTGCAGCGTTCGGAGAGTCCTATTGCATTTTAATTCTAAGACTGATGACTGACATGCTGATTTAAAAGCTTTAGAACACAAAATTGCTTTTGGCCCTAGCACCAAATATTAAGCGGAGTGTTTCTCTCCCTGTTTGATGCCAAGAACAAGATGTAGGAACCAGTTAAACTGCACGGTCCATCCTTTGTCTCTGCAGACTTCAATCTGATCAAGGAAATACTTCTTAGCATCCTCCTCGTTCTTCCCCACTGTGAGGGCATCCCGGATATACTCAATGTCTTCTTTGCTAGTCAGCTGGGGCATTCCTGTCATCAGCATCATGGAGAACAGGATGATCAGCAGGTTTGTGTGGTGGCGCAGAGCTAGATAAGCCTTGACACAGACATCCTGGAGAAAGGAGAAGAGAACGCTGTTATCAGTGGTCCGCGCTGGTGCTCCGGGGTGATGGAGGAACATTAGGCTGTGCTGGAATTTACACGGCACTGCGCATGCAAAGAAATCCTTGTGAACAAGGCTGGTCTCTGCTGCAGGTAAAAAAGTGGGGTGAGAGCATAAACTATTTTTGTAATCTTGTAAACACATCAGTGCATCCCGGCCAGTGAGCGCAAGGAAAACCAGCCGACTCAGACAAGTCTCGTGCTGTTTGTGAGTCTCCCTTTCAGATTCAAGTTCTTTCCAGGGAAATTGGAGGTAGAAAGATCTGTCCTATGGAAAGAGGGCCGAGACACTTTTGAACACCATCTTGAAACCAATAAACTTTATGTTAGTGAAAGCAATATTTGCTAGCAGCAAATGAAATCCAAAGAAATGCAGGAAATGTGTTGGATTTAGCCCTCATATTTATTTATTTATTTAAAATTTGTTGTATTTTTAGGTAACAGATGAATTTGCCTTTCACCATCTGATTTTCTGAATTGTTGAACGAACTTAGGAATTTTAACACAAATTCCCAATACTGAGCAAAACAGTGTTTTAAAAACTGATGACTAGGCAAGCATGGTGACTTTTGTCTGTCATCCCAGCATTCTAAAGGTGGAGGCAGGAGGATCACTGTGAAATCAAGGCAAGCTTAGACTACAGAGGAAGTTCCAAATAAGCCTGGCCTAGAGTTGAGATCCTTCCTCAAGAAACCAAGAGATATGAAGGAAAGGAAAAAGAAAGGAAGGAAGGAGGAAAGAAAAGAAGGAGGGAAGGCAAAAAGAATCAAAGGCTGCTGCTTCATAAATGCCTTTGCAGCAGGAGAAAAGTGATGCCTACCTGTTAAGGAGCAGGCTCATCTGCGGCATTAAGTTGTTTGGAAGCAAAGGAAACTTAGTTTCATATAAAATCAGAACTCAACCTAAACCTCATGAACTGGAAGAGAGCATAGACAGAAAACTAATGGCAATGATCACAGATATAAATAGTTCATATAAGATACTAAAAAAATAAAACAATAATAAAACCCTCCTATACAATACTAAATTGGATTTATGCCCAAATTGTAAGATTTTTCTGACCACAACTATATTAATAACCACTTCTGATTTTTCTAAAATATGAAAATTAATACATTAAAAAGTATCAGTGTGAGGCACTGAATATCATAAAAACAATTCTAAATTTTAAAATGCCAGAAAATTAAAAAAAATAGAAAAAGAAAGTATAAAATCAGAAAAAGTGGAGATAAAATTATCAGTATTTATAAATGATGTATTCTTTTCCCTGGAACTCTGAGGAAAAGAAAACTCAAATATTATTATAACCAGTTTTTGGTAAATTGTTTTATGTGTTTCTGTTGCGTGTCTATTTGTATGGAGGCCAGAGGTCAGTGCCAAGACACTGGGTGGCTTCCTCAATCTTAGCCTTGTTGTTTGAGACAGAGCTTCTCACTAGTCCTGGGGCTCAGCAATTCATCTAAACTAGCTGGCAAGCAGACCCTCAGAATTCACCCATCTCTGCCTTCTCCGCACTGGGAAGTTATAGGTTTGTGCCACCACGATCATCTTTTATGTGGCTGCTGGGAGCCCTAGCTTGAGTCCCCATGCTTGTGTAGAAAGTACCTTCCAAATGAACCTTCTGTCCAGCTGTAAGAAATTTAAAAATAATGTAAATAATAGCAGCTACTTGGCAAGTATCATGAAAAAAAAAAAAAAAGCAACAGCCACTGTGAATGTTGATAAGAGGTATGCTATACCTAGAACAAACACATCACAAAATAGAAAAACCCGCTTAAAGAAACTGTAGAATTTTACTGAGTTGCCTAAAGGAAAACTTGAATACATGAGATAGCATAGCATATTTCTCAGAAAAGAAGCTCCTCTCAGGATACTTATTATTGGTGGGTTAATCTATAAGCAGTGACACTTCAGTAAAGTTTCTCACTAATTAAATTCAGGTACGGGTTTTAGTTCATCCAGCATGGTCTGAGAAGACATTCTGAGAGATTACAGTAGTGAGAACCTGTGCTTGCTACTACAAATATTAAAATATTTTACGGTGCTGGAGATGGCTCAGTGGTTAAGAGCACTAGCTGCTCTTGCAGAGGACCTGAGTTCCAGTCCTAGCACTCACATGGTGGTTCACAGCCTTCCCTGGTTCCAATTCTAAGAGGAAATCAAAACAAAACAAACAAGCAAACAAACAACCCACACAAAACTTGATATGAAGCCATAACATAAAAGATGGGTGAAATAACATCTATTGTTTAAAAACAAAGGCAAGAAATGTTGTGGAATAGAACAAAAAGTGTAGAGACACAATGAAGTGAATAACAAATACAAGATGTAATTAAGGCAAGTCCCGAAACCAGCGATGAAAAGATCTATTCTTTGATAAATGGGGTCTAGAGAACTGATTCATTATTTGGGGGAAAAAAAGTTAAAATTTCACTCTCTGAGACATGCCAAAAGAAATTCCGGATTAATCAAAGATTTATATTTTTAAAAAGGCAGATATTGAACTAATAAGGATTAGGAAGGTAGAAAAAAGTGGAGAAATTATAGAAAAATAAACACATTCAGCGATTATTAAGAGGGAATAACAAAGAAAGTATTTATGCAAAGTGGCACATGACTCTCCTATCCCGAAGTGCAAGCTAGGATATGTGAAAATACTATCAGGCCAGAGGGCAGAGGATAATCCCTGAAGAATGTGAATGTTGTTACTCAGCCAGCGAATGAAACATAACTAGGACAGAAATAGTCACATCCTCCATAGATACATCTTGTTCTCTTAGTTTCTTACAGATAGAACCTGTTCACCCGCCATGGATGACAGGAGGGCACAGGTGTGACTTTACCAGCAGACCACTTCATAACATAGCTGCTGTGTGACAGGACTCAGCTGTGGTGGCACACGTTACATTTGTCAAAACTCACAACTGTACACCTAACATGGTGAAAAAACCTCTGGCTCAAGCATGCTTCAAAAAACTCAACTGTTGAAAGAGTCTATATGCTTTCCCCCGATACATCCATGCTAGGAATTGAACTTCTAACATGTCGGGCACTTTTCCTATTAATTTACCTGTAAGAGAAAGTTCTTGAGAACATTGCACAGAAGGCAGCAGCCATGGTGTCCTGTGAAAGGAGGGGGTAGAAAGGCTGAAAAAAACTGCCTCAGTCACATGTTCTGAGGCCACAAGGATGGTGCCTCGGGAGAACCAATAAGCATGGAAAAGTGTGTTATGAGGCAGGAACAAGAGAACATGTGTAGTCTCTTCCCATCTTGTCAGTTAACCCAAGATGACTTTGTGTGTGCCTGCTAGTTGCCCTGTCCTTATTTCTGAGACACAATGGCTGCTACCTGAGGGAGAAAGGATTTGTTCTGGCTTGTGGCTTCAGAGGGTGAAGCTAAGACAGCACAGCAGGCGCTTGAGGTGACTGCCTGGTCACACTGCAGTAGACAGGAATCTGAGCACTCGGGTTGGGATCAGAAACAGGCATAACGTTCAAAGAGCCTGTGACATGTCCCCCAGCTGTACCCTGTGTCCCAAGGTTCTGCAACTCCCCCACATGGCGCCGTCAGCCTGGGACTAAGTGCTCAGACACTTGGCAGGTGGAGAACTTTTCAGTCTCAAGCCATAGCGCTGTATCATTTGCATGTGGCGCTCTAGCCACAGTGATAAGAGAGGTCAGGCCTGTTCCCACTGGCCAGCGGAGGGTGGACTTACTACCCCATCTAAGTAAAATTATGCAAGCAATGCACCCTGGTGCAAGTGAGGCCGTTTATATTGCCAGACATGTCAGTCCCTTCCTTCCTGACCAGGACTCAGAATTTTCTGCTCACCATGGAGGAAGGTGCTAAAGCAGACCCCTAAGCCTGTCTGGGCTGTTCCAGCTGCAGCCCAGATTTTAACTGTCCTCTGGTGGCACACCCAGTACATTAGTGCTCTTGCATTCTAAATGATGCCCTTGATGTCCGGAAATCATTTTCTTTGCTCATCCAGCCCACTGAGGCATCCCACGTTTCTTAGTAATTACAGAAGCTAAGTGCAGACTTCACCTCGGGCCACAGACTCATTAATTTGCCAACTCTTGTGATTTTCACACAGACATAGGGGGATGTCTTTTGATGGGGAACCAGAGTACATTTTAATTTTTAATTATTTTCTACCCTTCTACGCATTCGGGGCTTCAGGCAAACCTCCTGCTATGTGAGCCCACTATGGATCAGTCTTTTCTAATGGAAAATTTTCAAAGGGGGAAATTAAGCCCACACAGATTGTCACACCAATTCCTAGATGCTCAGCAAATGCTTTCAGGTGACGGTAAGTAGATTCAACAATCTCTGAGCCCAAAGAGATTTGCAAAGGGAAAGGAGCAGCGGTCCCACCTCCCTGGAAGGCCACCCCACCCCGATGAGCTGTCATCTTCTGGTGGATGGTAAGGAGAGAACTCAGAACCTTATGTATGCCCTGGTGAGCACTGTCCTCTTGAGCTGCCTCCCTGGCCTGTATCACCGGTTTTTGTTGGTTTTAGCTTGTTTGATTAACTCTGACTTTCACAAGCAGGCTCTTCTATGAGAAAGCAATGTCTTCCCCAAATTTAACTGCATGTTCCATACTTGGAAGACATCTTAGCCAATTTCCAACTGGCTGCATAGTTGTAGAACTTGAATGTAGATGTTACTGTCCTCTGTTGAAGGTAGAGTGGAATAGTGGCTAACAGCAGGCTCACGCCAAGCTGTGTGAAATCAAATTTCACTTTTCTTATGGACTCACTGCCTCATTGACACTCAGAGAGGTCACTTGACTTCTCTGGACCTCAGTGTTTTCACCTGCAGGACAAATACACTAGTAACAGCAATACCCATTTCATAACAGCTGTGGTGAGATTTAAGTGCTATGTAACTGGCTGACTTACGAAATACTGTGGAGAGCTGCATCATTGAACACACTTCTCAAC